GAATTGGCCAAAATAGCTACAACAAATATTATTTTTCAGATTTGCTACTGCATCTTTTAGTGCCCTTTGGTTCTTGTCACATGACCATTTTATTAGAGGAATTGTTGGAAATTATAGCTCTCCTTGATGCTGCTGCTGTTTGCTATGGAAAAAAACAGTGTCTCTAATTGTGAACCACTGAATTCATACCACTGTAGGTAAATCCACTGAGTCTGAACACTGGCACTGAGCACCAGGTAAGGATTAGGCCAGTAGTCTCTCAAGTACCAACAGACACTGGCAGGAAATTGTTATTTCACTTAAGGAATGGCACTTGAGACATGTGCAGCTAATTATGGAGATGATAGCACACGACGACCTATTGTTAAGTTTGGCTTAATGTAAACTCTTTTTCATCCTGTTTGTCAGAGTTTTGGTTTTGGTTTTGGTCTGGAATTTTCCCCACAAGCTTCTTGTCCACCTTATCTTGAAATTACTTTTAAAACGTTGGCCACGAAGTAACACACAGATAAATACACACAGGTGAAAGAGCTGGGAATAAGAAATAGGTATTTGTATTGCCTGTCCTGACTACTGTGTTTTTGTAGCCAGCTTTGTGCTAAAAGCATAACACCATGGAGAGATCCTGTTCTTTGTAAGAAGTAAGTAATGTAGTAATGCTTATTTCATGAACAGAAACGTTCTAGGGAAGTATGAGGTTTTCTAGAGCCGCTTTTTATTTCATCCTCATTTATCCACAGATGCCCTTTTCAATGCACAAGTATTTTTATGTGATTTACTGTTCCTTATTCACACTGTGGCACAGTTAAATGCTGTTTATTAGGCAAGGTACAAAACAGATCACTCACGACACAGGCAGTTTGTAATTAGGAGGAATATTTGGTCTAGAAGATTGGTCATTATCCTCATATTTCTACCATTTAACTGTAGAAATGAATCACACATAGCTGTTTTACGGTTCCAGAAGCCAGATTAATACTAAGTTTTGGGTGGGGAGACTGTTCCGACACATCCAGTTGTTGTTGACCAAACTGTGCTTAGTTGTGCGTTCTAGCACATCTGCATGGCTGTTTAATTAAATTATCATTCTGGGCTCAGTTGTTGCTTCTGCTGAGGTCCACCTTTAGACTTATATGAAATGTATTAACGGGTTTTGATCCCATATATGTTGTTTTGGTTGGTTTATACTCATCTACATTAGCAAGTGACTCAGCACGTTACCAGCAGCTCAGTAGATCGAAGTGGCTGCTGCTGTCCTCCCTGCATTAGGCTAAGCAGGGTTCAGGGATTACATCAGACTTAATCTAATTTGGTTAGCTGGACCAAATATCCCCATTCTGCATTATTTGAGACATAATAATATACATTATTAAATCTCAAAACTGCCTGGAGAGCTACTGCTTGTCTCAGATCCTTAGTGACTGTGGTCCTTTAGTGTGTGCTGGGTTATATGTTGTCATAAGACACAGTAATGTCTTGCTAATGCAGGGTCAGGGTGGTACTGATTATGCAGACTAATGTCCAATTCCAGTTCATTTTCTATTAGGAAAATTAATAAACTTTAAGGAACAACATCTGGGGAAATCGGTTTCTCTTCTCAAATAACTAGTCCAGCTTTCTCAATTTAGTTATGGTAATTTAAATTTCCTTTTGAATCTCCTTTTTTTTTATTTATTTTTAATTCCCTCTCCCCCTGCACCCCAATTTCTCCATTAGAAATGCAGAAATGGAGAGGAACTAGGGACAAGGGAGGAAAAAAGTGTTATGTTCACTTGAAGAAGCCTACTCCCCCAACAGCTTATAATTGCTGGATATCTTGTTTTATCAATCTGGGCTGCATATATGATTAAGACAGCTTTTTTATATACATATAGCAACTCAAACTGATTTCTGTTTGCTCGAATTTTTTTATCGAAAACCAGGTTTAACATTTTCAGGTGTGTCTGAAATGCACAAGTTCAGGCTTGAGTTTCACCAACTCAGTGAACAAAGCAAAAGAACAAAACATTATCTGTCACCTTCTTGCCCGCCTTCAGCTTTCCACTTTGCAAGCCAGCATATCTGGCTACATCTGACTGCTAGACTTCATTATTTCCAGTATTTGATACCTTTCTTGATCTGGTGGGATGTGCAAGTAGCGGTGAAAAATGGATGAACACCCACACTTGGGAACAGGAACAGCGGATGTTCAACACCAAGGGGGTGTCAGGTCACTGCTGTCCTGTAAAATACGTGATAGAACAGGTAAGCATGACTAATGCATGCTCACAAAGAGCTGTCTTCTGCAAAGCGTGGGAGCATTTTAGTCTTTCACACTTGTGATGAGCACACTCTGTGCTGCAGTGGATGCGTCACAAACACGTTCACAGCTGAAATGGGTTCTGTGTGCCTGGGAACGTAAATAATGCCCGCAACACTCCCTGGGCCTGCAGTCAGTTTGATGCCGACTGCTTGTGGTGGAAATGGTTTCACATATCCCTGGATGTCCTCAGAGCTCGTTATAGGAAAACTATGCCTCAGAGACCCTAGGTTGTTTTTGGGTACTCACTGGGGAGTGCTGAAAATTGCTCTGTGAGAATTTCATCTACTTGTGTGGTCTTTCTCCTGTATCTTATGTAACCTCATAAGCAGTCAGATACACTGCCATAAAAGTGTTCCTAATAGTTAAAAACAGTGACATTAAATGTGGAAGAACCATACATGCCTATTGAAACAGCTTTTCTTGTGTCTTCTCATCACACTGAGATAGAGAAGAGGTAAGCTGTGCTGGTGTGGGTGGCGTTACAACAGCAAAAAGCAGTGGTTGAGTTATCAGATCCAGTAGATCTGTTTCTCAGAAGTGGAGAATCTGACATCTCTCCATTTCAGTAGCCCTGTCTATGTCCCTTAGCTACTGCTGCAGTAAGTTAAACTGCTAGTTTTTTTATGTAAGGGGCAGCTGGTTCAGGCTGACCTACCTCACCAAAGCAAATGTTTAACTTGGGTGTCATGGTTTAGGAACAGTATTCCTCAATTTAGTACCTCCACTGAAAAGAAAACCATGAGCTACTCCCCTCCCTCCATCCAGAGAGACAAAAGGCAGAGATTAGGGATGGAGATAAGAACAATTTACTGGAAACAGCAATGAGATAAGAAAACCAAACAGTAAACAGCAGCAATATTAATAAGAAAAGTGTACAAATAGAGAGTGGTCTTCATCACAACAGAGCTCAGGACCAGCACCACATGGTGTGACACAGTGAACATGATGAGTTCCCCACCCCAACCACTCCATAGCCACTCTTGCTCCCCACTGGAAACCACAGCCCACCTGCTTCTCTGAAGCCAGAATTCCTTATTTCTGCCCCCTGGCTAAATCTATCCCCCTCTCCCCCACTCCCAGGGATCTGAGGTGGTGCAGAATAACAACCAAGACACTCCAGGTGGCTCCAGGCTCTGCCCCTCATGGCTACTACACAACTAACTCTGTCCTGGTCAAAACCAGGATATTAGGTTGCAGGAAAGAACTCTTTGGGGAATAGTGGGAAATAAATTAATAAAGAAGAAAAAGACCAGTTTGCAAAGGCAAAAGCACCTACAACTTTATTATTTTTCAGCATTACTTTTCTAATAGAAAATAACCCCTGAAGGAAAAAATTGCCTTTTTTTTTTTTGTCAGTTTTTATGAAAAGAAACTGATAGTACAAACCCTTCAGTTTTAAATAACAGAATAACATTTATAAGTTTTTAATTCTTCATGGAATAATCAACATTTTAATTCTTCATGAAATAATCAACATTTTTGTGAAATCTTGTGTTTTCTGGGGGAGAAAGTCACTTTGTAAAAGTGGCAACATTTTATAAAACTGTGTTTTAATTAAATACTGTTTTAAAATAATGATAAAAATATTCTTGTGAAGTAAAAAAAAGTTTTACTTTTTTTGAAATTTATTAAATTTACTTCTATCTATTTCTTTAGTATAAACAAAGATTCAAGGTAAAATTCTATCTGGCACAATATGGTTAGAGAAAAATAGTTGTTTTGGAATTATGACTCTTCTATTGCATACTAAAGATTAATTGAAAACATAACAGATAAATGTTTTAATCCAGAAGTTATAGTATTTAGAGACAGAGATACATAGGTAAACAGAGCATGCTGTTATTACCCAGTGTTTGGTTATTCCTAGCTGTGTTTCACATGACCTAGAAAAAGATGCAGGATTAGTGCACACCAGTTACAGCAAGTGATACCTTCCAAAGCATTCCTGTGCTGTTATGATGAACTGATTCTCTGCCTTCTATTTCAAACTCTCTTTCATACTGACTTGCTCCTACATTTGTCAGACTGGTTCATAATAACCTCAGTAGCCTTTTTCTTGCTTATCCCCAAAAAGTTAAACTGATTTCCTCTGTTCATTTAATGATTAAGATCTGTAAATGTTCTTATATGTTGATCAGAAAAGTTCTTTTTTTTAATTTCTTTTCTTTTTTTTTTTTTTCTGATTCCATTAAAGAAGAAATTTCTCCTCCTGTCCAGCTTATCATGCTAATCCTTAACTCTCTTCACTGCAGCTCATCAAGACAGACAGAACATCTTACACCTGCATTAAGCCAGACTCTGTGAGCTTGCACATGGAAATGTGCAATTTTGCATGCAGCTGTCTGCATGTATTATCCCTATTAAAGAAGCCACCTTCTTTCCTAGCAATATGTTGTTGTCACTTGGAAATGCAGCTACATAAGAGAGTCCCAACACATCACAGTAACAACATATCATGGAGAATTAGAGTTGCCTGCTTCTCATCTATCCCTCTGTGCCTTTTTTTTTTCATTTTTTTTTTCTTTTTTGAGATTTTGCACCGTGGCATTATTCTTGCACTGAATTTCAGCAGCACTTTGATGGTAGCTGTAGTGAGTAGTCTGGAAAAGGGCCAGATTCTGACCTTTGGCTTGTTGGGCAGTGTGGCTGCTGGGTTACAGGTGCATGCAGAAGGTTAGAGCTGGGCCCAGGTCTTGCTTTAAGCAACAGTTTTGTCTGGTGAGGGAAGAGCCTCGATAGACAGTGGTGCCAGTTGTTCATCCCGTGTTTTCATGTGTGCCTGGACCTGCCGTGCTCGCCTCTCCAGCCGCAGAGCCCATTCCTGGCGGAGTCTGCAAAGAGAGTACAAGTGCTTAGCAGTTACTGAGCCAAATCCTTCCAGTGAACCCAGGGCTTTTCAGCAGGTTCGAGGCTTTCCTCTCTTTCATCACCAGAGCACTTGTCCTGTATTTATTTACCAATTACACATCTCTCTAGCTTGCTAGATTGGGAATGCAGGGGAGAAAGGGATAGTGCTGATGCTATCAGTGGTTGACATTGCTGGATTCCAAATGAGTCAAACAACTGCTGAAATACTGTCACTGTGAAGAACTGTGTTTTCTCTCTGGGGTATTCTCAAAGCTACACTGAAGTATTGCCTATGCAGTAAGGTCATTCAATGTGTCAATTAAAAAAAATACCATTTCTTCCCTCCAGGCCCCCTGGTTTAGAAAAACAAGGAGAACTTAAAATACGTCCTTTGGGTTAGGGGAAAAAAAAAAAAAGCCTCCCCAGAAACTGTATGTGTTTAATGAAAAGAATTGATGTCACATGCAAGAGGAGATACATAGCTTCAAGACACTATTATAGTACAAACAGAAGAGAAGATCTCTAAGGACCACTGCAAGATATTTTTGCCTGGCTTGTTTTCAGAAGGAAATGTTGTTTTGAAACACCTGACTCAGCAATGTTATAAGGTTAGACATCATAGGGTAATGCCAAATGCGTCATTGAACATATGGGTTTTTACATTACCTTTGGTGTGATGAAAAGAACAGCAGCCAGTGATTTAATCTGAGAATAACCCAGCAGTAGCTGGTTCACATGGATGCTTGTGTTATCTTGGCCTCTGAGTTTGATTTTAGAGTGTTTTTTAAACTACTTCACTATTCTTTTGTGCATATAGTTAAGCCCCAGGAAGAGGTGCAGTTAGGGAAAGTTTGCCATTGAAAATTACAATGTTCCTTGTCAGCCAGTGTCCCAGGTGTCACTAAGGAAGAACTTGCCTTTACTTAAAGCCATGTAATTTTCAAGGGTGACATTCACACGAGCTGGTAGACCTCTAGGTTTTGCAATGAAATGAAAGGATCTTTTTCCCAAATTAGAGAACACTTTATGAACAATCTGAGCTTTGACTGAGTAAGTGACCTTGAAGGAACTTGCTTGGGTCTATTTCAGTTGTGACCAGTCAGTTAAGACATATTGAATATGTATGCTAAGACACATTCACAGTTCTTTTCCTGCCTTTTTTTTTTTTCCTTTTCTCTTCAGAGAAGATTTTCTAAAAGCTTTTAACATTTGCAGCTCTGTGAAGTTACAGATATTATCTACGCCACTAATTGCGATTTGTTTGCAATGCCTTCTTGAGGTAGTTTTTTGTGATCTAGAGCTGACAAAGCTTCCAGTGAACCTCAAAGTCTTCCTGGGTTTTATCACACATGTTTTCTCTCCAGCAACTTTCTGATTTCATTTTGGGATTACTACTGAGTAGATGTAGTGGGATACTGGAGGCAGGATTGTCTGCCTCTGACTTTGCTGGGACACAAGGTCTGCCCAGATCTCGATTTCCAAGTTTTTAAGTGATGACAGCAGCTTCCTTCTTGGACACTAGGGTCAAAGTACTTGGAATTTTGTAAAAAGAAACAGCCCTTAAAGCAGCACGTTCCAATTTGTTGAAGTCAAATTAACTTATGGGAATTGCCATAGCTTTGAGGAAAGTGTATGCAGGACAATCTTTGTTAACTTCAGGAGGAAGGCACAACAGAAAACCACAAGAGACATAGCATTTCTCATCCTCTGTTCATTTTTAGCACTTCCTGTGCAGGAGACCCTTGGTCAAACTCCTGAACTGCAACAAGTTGAACAAATATTTGAAGCAGTCTACCCCACTTGTGCAGAGTGCCTATACCACAATCACAGCTCTTTCTAGGCAGTCCCATTGTTTCATGCTGTTTTGTAAAAAAACAAAACCAAATCAAATCCAAACCAACCAACCAACCTAAAAAAACCCCCACAGAACAAAAAAAAAACCACAACAAAACACCCACCATTTTTCCCATTGAACTGGAAAATCTTGTCGTGTCATTCCTGTCTTTGGGCTTATATTATGTGAAGGGCTGTTAAACATGACAAAGATGCCATGGTTTTTTTATCCTACACATTAAAGTGTGTGGTTGTCCCTTTAATGTAATATTATTTCATTTATTTGTGTAGCTGTACCAGTTCCAGGTAAAATTCCTGATATTTTCTGGCTGTCACAAGCCATAATGCCAAAGTGCTTTATTTTTTCGTGGCTGTGCTCCAAGGCCTTTGAAGAATGCCCATGAGGTTTAAGGGTGAGGGGTGTCTGAGTTTCCATGCAGAAGAGCCACAGTAATACGAGACAAGCAGCTGCGAGGGGGAAGAGTGCCAAAGACCCAGAACACAATCTGTGCTATGAATAAAGCAGTACAATAACAGGTTACCTTATTTTAAAACACATGATGACAAGTCTCGTGCAAAAGGAAAAAAAAAAAAAACAAACCAAACTTACTTGTTCAGGGCACTTTTGCTCAACCTGGACTCTTCGGCCTCTTGCTGCTTGGTTTGCTCTTGGATGACCTTTTCCCAGAAGTTCCTCAGCCCTTCTGCATCACTGCCACCCATCTTGTGGCGGCTGAAGCTGGTGTGCTTGCTCATTTTCTGAAAAGCAGTTTGGAGGTCAGAGCAGCGGGAAGCCTAACCCGAGGCGGGTGCTGGCTCACTCGGCCCCTTGAAATTTCATTCTTGCCGAGTGCTATTAAAATGAAGTATGCCACCCAAAAGAATAGGTAACCGACGCTTACTTTGCCTTGAACTGAAATATAAGGCTTTGAAACAGGCCTTGGGTGACAGTTAAATGGTACAACTATATTTTTGTTACTGAGTAATGACTACACATGGCACAATTCACTGAAATATCGCGAATGCCTCGGTGCGTGTGAGATTTTAAGTGATTTCGGAAGAACTCGGGATAAATGCTTTCAAATATAGTGCCATTGTCACTGAAGTTCAGATTAGATGTGAAGGGCTTTCCTTTTTTCTATCTCCTATAGTTTTAAAACAGAACAAAGATGGTTTTATTCAAGGGAAATGCATTGCTCTTAAATGATTCTACTCCAAATGATGCCATGCCCGAAAGATGCAGAGGAATTATGAATCTAAAGTTGAAGCACACAGAGTGCAAAGCTCTGGGGAACTTGTTAAGGCCTTTTTCTTTTTTTTAATCAAAATTCAGTCTAAGAATCCTTTTAAAAATAGACCTTCTTAAAATACAGGCATGAGTTCCAATAAATGAGAAAAAGGACAGAAATTAAGTGAATTTGTCCTTGCTAAATGCACATTATTCAAATATGGAGGGGGGGGTGTAAAATTCTCATCATGTCTGATATCCTTGCTGGTATTACCATATTGCATTGGTTATCAGATTGTGATTGCACTTTGATCAGTTAAGTTCTGTTGTTTATTTCCTGCCTCAGTCTCTTCTGCTGAGTGCCACCAACAAGGGGGAGAATGTGGGAAAGAAGAAACCCCAAAGAGTAACCCCATACTCCTGAGCTCTCTATGGCTAGATCAGCACTCAGTTTGAGGGTTGCTACAAAATCCCTTTTCTCCCTTGTGTTCATCTGCATTCTGCTATTTGATACTTTTGCCAGCACTCCACTCTGTCCTGCTGATGAATTAATGCCTTACAGACCCCGGTACCCACTTGTGAGTCTTCTTCACTGAGGATGTCGCACTTCATGAGCTACCCCTGATAAACACTACAAAGACTATGCTAAAGCAGGCCAATCTGAGGAAACCTTTGCTTTGTGCAATGTTTTCAGTGGAAGATCAGAGTAAAAGGAAAGGACAGTCGGTGTAACACAATTAAGGCAGACTTGTGTAAGGTCTTACTATCAAATACTCTATCACAAAATCCTGAAACCTTAAAAGGGCAAATAAGTAAGTTTCTGGTATCTTCCCAGACTGAATATTTTAGATTTGTCACAGTTTTCACAAATCTGTTTTTTAGAAAGATCAATAACAACAAATAATTTTTCCAAACTTGGTGCTAAGCCTGACTGGTGTGAAAAACTGCCTAGCAAAAAGAAAACCCTCTTCCAGATGCAATATTTTTCCACTGAAAAGTCCAGTTGCTTAAAGACCAGCACAGTCCAGCTGGAATGGTGAGTGTGAACTGGTCAGTCCATGTAATATAACCTCCTATGTGATGGAGCATCTTGAGAGGTTCGAATACTGGTCCTGCAATGCCACCAAAACAACCAGGCATTGTTCTGTGAGGCAAACAGCATTTTTTTTCTGGTGTTTTCCCCTTGCTGTGGACTGGGCATGCTGTAGATGTACCACAGTGGGATACAGGACTAATTGTTACTTTGGTATGGGTACAGCCGTTCCACTTGCGCCTTTTGCTGCACGTGCTGTGTTTATTGATGAACGTGGTCTAAATGGCACTATGGGTAATCCTAATGATCTTTCATCTCAGTGTGAGGCCCCAAAATAATAGTGTTATTTAAGGCTTCATCTTGCTTAAAAGATATGCACGTCACGGATGCACTGGGACATGCCCTATCTGTGCCTGAGCTCCACAGGCTTTGAGCAGTGCTAAAATAACTGCTCTGGTAATAGCTTGTTACAGCAAGTGATGGAATCTGATTATTTCATCATTCTTAGATCAGCAGGTCACCTGGGTCTTTGCGCCATTTAAAAGCTCTTCTATCAGCAGCTGCCCACTTGACACCCTACAGATAATTATCCCATTGCCTCAGAAGCCAAGTGCAAGTTGCTGACAAACTGTCTGAGTCAGTTTGCCCTCCAAACCCCATTATACTTTGCCTCATGTAAGAATCTGCCATAACACATTAACCTTTCATTAGATATTGAATTTTTATGATTATTAAACTTCTAGCAGATATTCTTCAAGTGGTACAAAGAAGGTCCACAGTCTTTATCTGAGCTCTAAATTTGTAAGATTTTTGAGAGGGTGCATGAAGGTCTTGGCTGCTCCACTCAGAGGAACAAGCTGTGATCAGAGAGGTACTGATGGAGGTACTTCAGCAAATGGTTAGTCTGGTATGTCTGTGGGACTTTTTACAAATCAAGAAACTTTGACTTGGTAATAGTTCCCAGGAATGTCAGTGACAGTGAATATTCCACATGGTATTGCCATGGTCCTGGCTAAGACAGATTCCTGGTGTTAAACTTTTAAATACAGTGCTGTCTGGCATTATTGGCCAGCATCTCTCATGCTATCCTCTGTGAAAGCATCCTTTCTTTAAGGCTGGCATTGCAACATCCATGTGTAGAGATTAGAGTTCACGTGGATTGTGTAACATCTTCTTGTTTTATTTGTAACTGAAAGATTCTACTTAGGAGCTCGGTTTGGATTTCTGGGTGATTCTCTAGGTTTGGTGGGTTTTTTGCATCAAAAAATTCCTTATTACTGCTCTAGAAAACATGTTTTGTTGATGTGTGATTTTCTTCTTTCTTTTTAGATGTCTGAATAACATAAATTCAACTTACATTGGCAATTGGACTAATTCTATCAAACATATCCTTGATTCCTTCAATCAGATACCTCAGGGTTCAGAAACTGGCAGGACAGTTAGATTTCCTCTGTAAGTAAAAAACACTCTTACAATCACTTGACCAGTGTTGTCTGGGTGGAAAGAGAGCAAGGAAAAGAGGTTCTTCATCATCCTTATTTTCATTCTGGATTGCCAGGTATCATTCCAGAGACATTCAAGGAAAATTGGGGAAGTGTTTCTCTGAATTCTAATGGCAGGTGGTTTTAACATCCTTACCCACTGACATAAATGTAAAATAAGCAACAGCAACTCTTCCATGCATTCAGAATTATTCCTTCAGAAGGTATGGATTGTTGTGAGTATCACGGACTGAAGATGCATGTTAGAACACTTCCTCCAGCACATTTCCTAGGAAGGGCTACTAAGATGTGCATAACAGTGGTGCAGGACAGAGTCCCTTATTAAATCTTCAACTAAGATGGTTAAGGAAGGAACTATTTTTGCAGGGGTTTTGCAGTCCTACCTGCCCTTTTGAAGTGTACTTGGTGGCTTTTTTGGGGACTCAAGCTGACAAAATAACATTTAAATAAAGGTAAAAGTAGATGTTGGTTAGGGTGCCTTATGCACTTGGTAGTTCTGAAACTCAACGGTCAAAAATCTGCATATATGTTTGCAAAACACTTTTTTACAGCATTCATCATTTATGGGACTTAATTTATGTGCTAACAAGTTATTAATTTATGGAGAGTGTCCACGAGAAGAAGTAATTAAAAAAGAAATTAATGGCACCATAAAAGAAAAATCTCCTACGATTAGAATCAAACCATAAATCTCATGGCAGTGCAGCAACCTGTGAGACAGCCAATCAATCACACAGAGCATCTACACACAACACATTGGTTTAAAATCTCTGAGCTCCTGTCCCAGAGCAGGAGGATCAAAATGTGAATGGTGATCAGACCTCTCCAGTGCAAGGGAGAGGAAATTTTAACACTGAACTTCCAGCTGTAAGTTATCACATGCACAACTTCCATTAATTGGCACAAAACTGATATGGAAACAGCCAGGGGTACAATCTTCTCTCGTTTAATCTGATCTGCAATCCGAATGTGCTTTGTAAAGGTGTTAAATTAGTGAGTTTCCAAATATTCTGGTCTAGTCTGCATATTTTGAATATAATCTCAGACAACCTCTGCTGAGGTACAAAAAGGACTTTAAAAAAATATCCAGTGCAAGTAATTTTTCTTCTGCACACTCTGTAATTCCTATTTTGAACTCTTTCTGGAGGAATGTTAAGGATCAGAAATGGCTCTTGATGTTTTGAATAGAATTGCTATTTTTAGTTACCTTTATATGAAATAAGCAAGCAAAAGAAGAAAATCTTTTCTAAAGCCTCAGAAGGCATTTTGTTTTACCCCTTTTCAGTCTTTCTATTTAATATGTGTCTTAAACTAGCCATTGTCTAACAAATTCAGTGTTTTATGTGGAGAGATTTTATGCACAATACTTGTGTTTATAATGAGATTCTCTGAAAAGCTTTTACCTTTTAGTGAAATTCAGCACATTTACTTTTAGTGCATTCAGTAAAACTGTTAACTGAACAGACTTTGGGGAAAATGTCAAAATATTTTTTAATATAAGTCATGCATAAGTTAAAAAATTAATTTGTTTGGCTAATAGAAACAAAATAACCTTATGCTTTTTATCTTACTGGAAAATATTTTAACCAGCAACACAAAGCAATGTTTGAACATTTCCAAGGTTTATTTTCTAAATCTTTACTGAAACACTAAGACTTTAACAAGAATGATTTTTTTTTTAATATCTTAAAAAATATTTCCTTTCTAAAAGATGGAGGCAGATAGGTCTACTTTTAACTCTTTCAGTGGATTTGAGTATTCAGCCAATTTTATTGTGTAGTGCAAGCATGTTTCTGAAAGAATTTCCTCAGTCACTTCAGAGGATTTTGAAGATCATTGTAAACAATGGAAAGATTATCTTTGACTTCAACGAGACTCGGTCCCTTGAGTCATATCATGACCACGAGCTATTTTATCTTTGTCAGAACACTAATTAATATCCTATTCCTTTTACCCTTCACCAGGACTTGTTTGCCTAAGTATAGAATGTTTT